TTGCCCAAGAACACAACACAATGTCCCCGGCCAGGGCTCGAACCCAGACCGCTCGATCCGGAGACGAGCGCACTAACCATGAGGCCACCCCACCTCCCACCTGGTGCATGATACATGTATAATTGTTATGTTAGTACACATGCGAGAATTGCCATCATCAGCCATCTCCTTACTTGTGATATCAGATCAAAGTATCAATATATATAAAGCAATCAAAGGATCAATCTCAAGCTACAAGAAATGGCTGTCAACTAGTCAGAACAGTCAATCATTTGTTCATGGGGCTCAGTCACGGTATTTTGAGTTATTTTGGCCACATACAAAATTACCTTTAAATAGTAGGAAACCTGAAAATAACAGTTTAATAAGATAGAAAAACACTAAAGAGATAATGATAAACCATAAAGGAACAAGGATGGCTAAGGATGGAGAAGATTGACACGGATCACAAATTACGAATTTGAAAAATTGAGGCTAAACTTTTCAATATATGCGCAAACCGTGACTGAGCTCCTTTAATATCAGAAATCACCTTCTAATTGCAAGTCCCTTTCGATGCTTCTTGGGCAATGCAAGGACACACTACAGTGTACATATGTGGGTATGTTTTACTTGGAGGTGCAAAAAATCTGGATTCCACTTTATGTGTAGATTTGGCCCCTTGCATGCATTGCAGTCATATGAGATCACTCACTCTTATGTCATTATCAAATCTCTTAAAATATTTATTTAATAAATTGTTTCAGGGCCAAAGAGCAAGTAAAAGAGAGAATACAAGCTTTATCTGCTAGCTTGAATCCCAATCCATCTGCCCCAAGTGAGGACATGGCTGACGGTCAGAGTCAGAATGGGCACCTTGCCACTGATGAGGAACTGGAGGCCTGTTATTTAGCAGATCAAGAGGGAACGTCATGGGAAGATGTCAAGGAACTTTTGGTTTTGGAACACAGTATGAAGCGGTTCATTTGCCTTCTTGTACTTTTTTAGCGCTTCCTCAGCTGATATCAGCTATTAACATGATGTACATGTATGAGGTAGATTGTGTGTGTAGTTAAGTAAAATTATTTTCATTTTGGAACACAGGTGTAAAGATGTTCTTTGTTAGTGGTCAAGGAAGTGTCACAACGTTGTCTCAACCACAAACTTTATATGCTTATCAGTTTGTCAATTATAAGCCAGGTACAGTGAGATACAAGTCAATAATTTAATAGTATTTAGTTACTTAATTTGTCAATACAGCAATATTTAATAAAAGCTGAATTTGTATTGGAGAAAAAAAAAGCAGAAAGATTTTAAACTTGCTTCTGCTTATAAGTTAAAATATCAAGTACATGTAAGAGAAAAAAAGATTTTGGAAACATTCTCCATTGTTTGATTGCATTGTGCTACATGATACATTTACCTTCCTCAACTGACTAGAATATTGTGGGTACTTACCATTGGTTAGAATAAACCAGATGAAATGACTTTTGAACAATGGTAAAGGTTTTTCCAAAATCAGCAAGCCAACTCAGTAACAAGATGACACTCACCATTTGCAATTTAATTTCCCTTATTTTTTTGGCTGATGAGAGACTGGAAAGTGGAAAATGTAGCAAATGGGAAATCTCCACCGCTCTTGACTTTCAACCAAAATCTCCTCTTTTTTAGCTAAGTGGTAAGCATCCTATATGTTTGTTAACTTTAGTAATTAAATATGATTCAATTGCTTAAGTGAATACGGGTCTTCAGAGCCATGGTTGTTAATCTTTCTTACTAGATTCTCATGAAGCACCAGCTTTCCTTCAGTGTGGAGCATGGATGTTCCCGATGGTCCCAGGCAGATCTCCTGTCCTCAACACGGAGCCTCACACATACATGTTCCCTGACATCACTATCGACCCATCTTCCCCTCCACCTTCAAAGCCTCGCCCACAGAGAGGATTTGCTTCAGTGGGGTTGATTTTAAACCCCAACATTTCCTCTATGGAACTGAAAAGGTTTGAAAGGATTTTAAAGTGTTACACAGATTTCCATCATTATACTCCACCCAAGTATTCCGAGGAAGAGGTGCGAGATGTAGACCAAAGAAGAGATGAAGACACGACGCCAAGTGTTCCTGCAGTAGAATCTACAGATGAGCATGGTTCTTCTGTAGCCGTGGCTGTAAGACCAAGTACTGATGTTGTACCAGCTGATTCTTCTCAGGTTTGTATTAATTAGCTTTTGATAACTTCTACTGTAAACTTCTAATTAATCAAGCCTTTGAGAGTGAACCCCCTTAAAAGCAAAAAAAAAAGAAAAAAAAAGACCCACAGAACCTTCCTCCCAAAAAGTGTGTTACCACCTAAAGACTAGCCCCGGAATCTCTTGTGCAACAGGCTTCCAGATAATATCCCCTCTTCTTCAAGGACGTCAGCTGATCTGATTCCAATCCCCCTTAGTACAGTGTATGCTGTTATGCCTGGTTGCATCTTATTATTACCATAGGTACAGTGTACCCTTGCTGAGATTCTAATTTTCATTTGATAAATGTAAAGCTAATGATTTAAATTTCACATAGTTTTGTTTTTGTACTTTACTTACTACTACTTGTACTGCGTAAATTTCTCCATCTTTCAATCACATTTGATTAAAATGTAAACCATCTTTGAAACCCTATACAGTCAATTGTGAGGCAATTGATTTTTTTTGTCATAATTTGGCTAATAGCTTTGTGACTAGTTTCATGCTTCTTACTTATGTGCATTTTGTTTTAATTGTAGGGAACATCATGGGGAAGGAAAGTTTCTAAGGTGTGTACATTAATTTACATGACTGTGTTGAGCCATGAGTGTGGCCTCTCTGGTCTCCAGGATTGAAACTGACTCAACTTCTTTGTTCTGAATATGTCTTTCCTGTTGTGTTTTATCTTAGGGTATTACGATTGGATCAGAACTCATTGCTTGGGGACTGACCAAAGGAGCAGAAGTAGGGAGTCATCTTATGCAAAAGGTGAGTAAAACTGGACTGTCTTTAGTTTCTTGAACTGTGACTTTTAAGTACGTTGTACCTGCACATGTAATTAACTTCACAAACATAATATATGTGTGTGGAGATCACAGCATAAACATATTAATATTTGCTAGATAAAAAACCCAGGGTGGTGTGTGGGGGTGGGGGGTGGGGGTGGGGATCTCCATGTGAAAAGGTCAGGGATGCTCATAGGAAAATTTAAATTGAATGGAAATGACCGCTTTTCTTTATTATTTTTTATTTAGCGAGACAAGAAGCATTCCGTACCTTTTCGTTTTGGAGTCTCCACCCTGGAATGGAACAATACTCAAAAAATGACAATTCCATTTAATAGGAAGTGTTGAAATGACTCAGTAACAGTACAGACAAATGTGAAACCTTCAGAATCATTGTTTTGGATCATTTTAAATTTGTTGTAAAAAAAAAAGACGTCGTCTAACAACTGATTTCCATACAGCATTTTTTTAACCATAAATTGAAGGTATTGCTGCTGTGGCTTTTAATAAATACCTTTTACTAACCGTGTTTGAGGTCCGTACTATTCAAGTTACGGACCAACATTTTTCCCTTTTGATTTATGGCCCAAAGCGAGAAGCGCGCAGGCTATAAATCGGTTTGGGAGCGATTTCTATTCACGCGGAACGGTTTCAATTTTCTGACGCACCTCGAAAGCAAAATGAGTCAATTTGAAATCGTTGTTAATCAAGAGATCGTTGAAATCGTTGTTAATCCATAAGCACGTTTTAATACACAATTTTAAAGTAAAAGAGACTTTTAAACTTTTACTTGCTGTAAAAGTTAAGAACACTTGGCGATAAATAACGAAACATTTTAGCAACAGAAGCAGCTTTAGATATTTGTGGACCGCAAAGTGGAATACGGCCCGGCCCACTAAATTGACCATTCACAGCGCGCGTAATATTTGAGAGATATAATAATCAGGCTTATATTTTGCAACTGTGCAGGGCTCGGCTAAACTCAGAGAAAATCTCAAACCCAATGAAAAGCCGGTGGAAGTTGAAGAGAAGGTACAGGATAATATTCGTCAAGTGAAGACTGTTGCAGGTAAAAAACATTAAAAGTCAGACAGCTTAGTTTGCTTTCAGAGGTACTTTCCATTTGTTTATTTATTGCGATGTCATGGCGGCCTAAGTCGATTAAAAACTCGTGGGGTACATGTAGATGATAACCACACGGGAGCAGCTTTTTTTATTGACATTTTAGTGTTTTAGATATCTGATTGTGTTGTTTATGTTTTTGCAAAGCTGATCATTGCTAGTTCTAACCTGTAAGCATAGCTTGCTCTAAGGCTCTAAGGAATCAGAGCACGTGATAGTTTTTTACCAATGAGGAAAAAAACCAAAACCATTTCGGCTCATTTTTGACGGGTTTTTACGTTTTTGTTTCGAGTTCAGTTGTTATTGGTTCGGCGTGTTTCCTGCTGTCGCTTCGATGACTCTTTATTTTACTTCCTTGTCTCCCCTGCGGGACGTTTGAGCATAAGGCCTTTGGAGCCAATACATACCATCGTAATCCAGAAGAGATATTATTCAGGGCCAGGTTGTTCAAAGCGCGATTAATCTAAACCTCGATTAGCAAGAATTTTGATTTGAGTTTTGTAACTTTCCGGCGAGGTTTTCTTTTTATATTGTTTGGCCTTCTAGTTTTGTCTCGAACTACGCAAAACGTAGGAAGTGACAAACATTTTTATTAAAGAAAAATTAATACTTTCCTTAACTTTTAATCCTGGTTTAGCCTTAACCGGCTTTCGAACAACCCGGCCCGGGAGATATTTTCGGTTAAAAATCGTCATAATCATTGGGGTCGTGTAGTATTTTGATTCAATCATTAAATATTTCTTAGAAAAAACAAAACAAAACAAAACAAAACAAAACAAAAAACAAACAAACAAAAAAACATAGTTGTGTGTTTGTTGATAGGCATGGCGTGTCAAGTAAGCGGTGCTGTAGTCGCTGCAGTATCAGCCATGACAGTTGAACTGGGGAGACGACTCGCCCCTGTTATTGTGGAGAAAGGCGGAAAGGTGAGTTTCGTTAATGGCTCTTGCGGGTTGTACGCAATATTCTCTTCCTTAATTTTGATTCCTTCCCTCCCTTCTTGTTCAATCCTTCCCTGGTCTTCCCTGCGAGTGCCTTTGCCATCATTCGGGGTTTCTTACGCGGGAGTGAGGTGTGTATATCCCGCGGGACAAGTGCTTTTGCGTGGGATCTTTAAGGACAGGGCTAGTGCCACAGGTCACCGTGGAAATGGTCAGGGAACAAAGACAGGGAATTTTATTGTGAGTCAGGCAAAATTGACATTTTGAGGAAAAGTCAGGGAAAATTGAAATATTATAACAGCACTATCCAAGGCTGGTGGAAGCTTTTCGGGTCACTGTGATCTCAACGAAGATTTTGCTCAGCGAAGAAAGTGGAAACTGATGATAACTAATCAGAACGGCTGTGAGGTCAGGCTAGAGGCCGCTACTATATCGGACATTTCGTATTTATTTGGTAAGAGAAATTTCATTTTTTATCAGGGAAACGTCAGCGAATAGTCAGGGAATTTTGACGAGTGATGTCTTTGGCAACCATGATGGAGCACTTGGCGGGAATCAATTAGGAGCCGGAATCAAGCGAGTCATCGACTTTAAACGACCGGTTGTGGGTCTTTCTTTAGAATCCTGTCTTGTTTATTTCCTTTCCAGGCTTTGCCAGATTCTTTGAAGAAAAGAGACGACGTTGACGGTTCATCCACCGTGGACGAGTTCGTGAAAGTGGCAGTCAGCGGAGCAAGAGGTAGAATCAGGTGCCTTTTATCTTGTTGATATTCATTGTGAATAGAGCGGTTTTCACTCGAGTGTTGAAAAATAATTGGTTTTGTACTCATTACGCAACGTGATTGGCTTAAAGAATTCGCGCCAATTTTATCCAATTAGAAGTGAAACCAAAACCAATGTTGACTCGCTCGCGCACGTTTTCCCGTGCCTAACGCAAGCCACATGTAATTACTTCGAGTTTTGATTGGCTCACTTTATAGCCTGTCCTCTTTGATTGGCTAGAGTGATTAGTTTGGTTTGGCTTTAGGTCACTCAGTTGAAAACCGCTCTATTAACTTGCAGTTGTTGTTGTTTCATTCTGTTCGTTTTCTTGCCCACGCAGGAGCGGCCACCATTTACCAAGGCCTTGAGAATTCATGGAAAGTATTATACAAGAGTCTTCAACATGCTACTGTGCAGACGGTAGATCACAAGTGAGTCTTGACGTGTTCGGTTAGATATGAATAGACCTTCAGGCCCCAGTTGTTGGTGGATTGCGTTATCCAGCCTTCGAACAACCCGAGCCAGGGAAATAATTAATAACCATCGTTTAGAGTTCATAATTTAGAATTTGACCACGAGCTCAAACTTTCTACGACGGAAACATCAACGTGGCTTGCTGAATTGAGGGTCAGCACTGGGGTTCAACTAGCCTCCGGCGCAGGCGTCCTTTGGGTTCATCAGACAGTCTTCCTTCTCCGAATATTGCGTGGCGAGCCCAAAGAGCGTCTGCGTCGGAGGCTAGGGAACAACTGGCAGATGAGAAATTGTCTCCCTGATATCCTGGGGGGGTGGGGTGGGGTGGGGTGATACTCCCTTATATGGGCTATATAAGGTATGTGCGGCCCCAAAGGGTAGGGTCTTTCAGCCGTTTAGGTCATAAATAAGGTATCGATTTTGGCCATTTTGGTCTTCAATAAGGCATGTTTCTTGGAAGAAACTACCTTTTCATCATTATCAATAAGACCATCAACAAAAGCCCTTCATAACTTATGGTTAGGGCAACGGTGCCAGCCGCAACGGTAATAATTAGAGTATCGAATTTTTGGTTAGGTCATAAATAGGGTAGCAAAAATCGCAGATTTTGGTCATAAATAAGGTAAGGGTTTGGGAAGTGGGCCGCACACCCCCCACCAAACTTTTCTGGGAGTCCTCCCCGGACCTAAGAAATGAGGCGTTTTCTTTACTGATAGTTGAGTCAGAGATCTCAACGTTTATTGATGGGTGACAGATAACTGTTAAACTGTTAGCTGGCAAATCGCCCAAAATAACCGAGATTACAGCACCCCATCCAGTCCCTTTGAGTCGATTTTCGTTCGTCCAATATTTTTTAACTTGTTTGTATTTATTTTTTAGGTACGGTCCAGCAGTTGCTGAAGCTACAAACAATTCTATGGGAGCTGCGGGGTTAGTTTTACAGGTAAACTACACAAGATAATCTCGATAAACTTGCTCCATTTCATGACAGCAGCGATGACGGCAGTTCGGAGAAGATGAGAGAAGCTGAGCACAGTTTATTTCACTCTGAGGCTCTCTCTCTCCTTTTCTCCCATGTCGTTGAGGAGACAAGGAAGGCATAAGAGAGAGAGCCTGGGATCGAGTTTGTAAAAACACCCAGCGAACAGCGTGGCGAACTTTGTACATGGCGTCACTTCTACAAATTAGTTCCCATCTCTGGAGACTTTTTCTACAAAAAAGACGCGTGTTTTGAGCTAAAAGAACTTTTTTCCCCAAGACTAAATCGCTAACAACGTTATTTTTTGTTGGACTAACATCAAAGGAAATAAAGGTTTCCCATGTCATTGCTAGTCTCTGTGGCTGCTCTGTGGCTTGTTATGAAAAACTCACTCTTCGTACTTAACCAATTACAGCGCTGTAGTGACGTTGTCACGCGAATTTTTGCTCTCATTTGCGGTACGATATTCACATGTAGTGTTTATTTATTAGGTTTTCGTTCTTTTGCACCTCTACAATTGAGTCTGTTGTCTTTGTCTTTTTTTTTTTTGTCTTGACACAGACGTGCTGGAACGTAGAAAATCTAGGAATCAAGTAAGTACTTTTATGACATTGAAAATGTCTAAGGTTTTATTAGACCGAGTGTGAGACAAAGCCCAACCTAAAAATGTTTCTTTCCAGAGCTCTTGCCAAACGAACTGCGAAAGACACAGGAAAAGAAGTGGTTAAAGAGGCGGAGAAGAAGTACATTACCGATGGGAAACAATAAAACTGCTGTATAAAAAGTGACATCTACGGGGCATGTCAACAACAGCACTTTTTCAAAGACGAAAATTGTATACAAAACGTATTCTAAGTTAGTGGAATGAGTAATAAATTAGCTTTAGTTTTTTCCAGGATTTATAAGCTTCCACAGGGTGATGCTAAAATAGAAATAAAAGAATATAAAATTTTATGGAGGCTACGTATGAGGTTGGGTGAGAATTTGTATGAGTACTGAGAAAAATTCCTATGAATAAATAGTCCACGTTTTGTAATCTTTGTATAATTTGAATAAAGTTAAATTTTCTTGCATCAGTTCTGTCGCGGTTTATTTTTCTATTTAGTTTTTGTTGACACGGTACGAGGTTCTAGTCCTGTTCACATCACAGTCATTATCTTTACTGGAAACGTTTGTTCTATTAGGGGAAGAGGAGAAAATCTGAAGTACCCGGAGTAAACAAAGACCCTCAAAGCAAAGAGAGAATCAACAAGAAACTCAGTTGAACGCAAAAATAGAAATAGCTAGCGGTAAGCTGGTGATGGGAGTGAGTTGACTTTGAGGCGAGTGTTCGTCCAACTATATCGCTCACTATGGTGGGAGCAGGCTAACCTGAGCTGGGGCGAAATCACTATCTCGCCCTCCTGGAGAGCGCGATTTGACTGCGGACGGTCACGAATACTTAGCTAATACTTCGCTGCCTAATAAAAAGTACGGTTAAACTCTCTCTAGGAATCTCCATAGCTTTCCCCACTCCCTAGCACCCTCCACCGCTCCGCCAGCTCATAATCCCATAATGTCGACATAAACACGCTAAGAAAGCCAAAAAAAGCTGGTTATTCGAAAGTAACGAAGTGAGGCGAGAGGGGGAGGAAAAAAACACTGAAAAAGAAGGATTCCCCTCTCCTCTCTACCTTAGAAAGCCTGTTACTCGGGTACTGTATTTTCCCCCAGTGTATGACATTTGCAGACTGCAGACTGTAGTCTTCAAATGTCATACACCGATTTTCCCCTAACCTCTTGTACTTTAAGGTGGCTGAACACAGTTTTTGAAACCTGTGTTTCATTCGCCTTTTTCTCTAAAACCCTTGATCTGTCGGTCGCCAAAAATGACAGCAAGCAAGTTAACAACACAAACTTTGTTTTTTTGATGGTTAAGCTGACGTATGTGCCGTTACCATGGCAACATGAATAAATATAAATATCGGTTTTGTTTATTTGTAGAAAATCTAGTTATTAGATTTTCTTTATAATTTGCCTGCAACAAGCTTGTAACGATTCTCACAAGTTAACACCATTTTGCTAATAATTTAACAGAGAGATCTTTAATTATCCCTTGTTGAAGTTTCCCTGGAATATCTAAAATTTCCTTTGTTAAAATTCAATTATTTTTAGTACTCCAGTTACTTATTTCCTAAAGTATTTTCGTGCCAAATTTCGTGAAATTCTAATGAGTGGTTCTCGAGAAATAGGCGTATTTCCGAGAGTGTAA